ACGTACGTGTAAGAAAGATACTAATAGTACTGCTTAATTCACTCTGTTACTCTATATTTGTTATACTATTGTGTTGTTGAGATATATGCCCGCAGCGGTGCGCAAAGTTGGTAGGGTGACCGACTCGCTTGCCTGACCGACTCGCTTATCCGTCACGTTAACATAGATTTCTAGGTAACATGTTCTGCGACCTGCTCACAATACGAAGCAGATTGAAATTGCCTCTCCAAATAACTGGATAGAACTTGGGATCTGTAAAGGCAAGGAAGAGACGCGCGAGGTTGGATTCATTGAGAGGTGCCATCCCTATTCAAGGTTCAACGGCACGTAGGAGCCCAGTGCTAGCTCATAATGACTCATCGTTGCTCATCCCAAGATCATCTCAGTCCAAGTTTCTGGTTCGACAAAAAACTTAATTTGAAATAGTTTTTCGTGATCACTCATTAGTAAATTTGGACTCTATGAATAAGTAAAGATCAAGCGAGCAAAAGTGCGTAGATGAAGATTGTGCATATGTTTCTGCTAGGATGTGATGTGTGTTTTGACAGTACGCATCCGATCAATGAGTGCGAAGGGCAGGAATGTGCCATCTGATCATCAGATCTCTCCCCTCATGCTTCATTTCAAACGTGTAATTTCATCTTGCGCATTGCTTCCAGGAGCTCTGGATGGCTATAAAACAAGCGTTGTCCTTAGTATTGTAGGGTTTTCCAGTTGGAGTATTATCCAAGCTTTCCTGGGCGTGTCGCAGGCGCGGAATCGGGGGCACACGGAAGCATTCGGCAAATATAGAACGAGTCTCAGGAAAATCACAGGTTATCGACTCATAGTTACTCACAATGATTTTCCTTGAGTACTCATAAATATCTTGTCTGGAATATCATGTGATTATACTTGCGGTATATATAGGATCTTTTTACAATGTGGATGGGCAGTTTCACTTGAAAACACTTTGGACTTCAATTATGGAATCACCTCAAACTTCTCCCAAGATTATCCGTCGCTCTTTAATATTTTGTGTATAATCACGCACCATACTGGTACACATGTCGAAGATAGGGAGGCGGTGAGTAAGACATAGCCAATCTGGTAAAACATAGTAGCGGTGGAGATGTGATGTAAGTCCTGTTCCAGCGTAAACCCCCAATAATTCTCAGAGATTATACCCATTTTGCCAAGGTGATAGTTCCCTGAACAGGTGCTGTAAGATCATACTTTCCCGACATCGTCTGAAAAGAGAAAACGTTCTAAATTATTCCAATAGAATTTGAAACTCATGGATGCTAATACAAGCTAGCAGATCTATCATTATTGTTTTTCAAAGTCGTCATGACATTACGCTGTGATGAGCTAGAACAGTAGGCACGCAGTGGAATGATTGTGCGAACGATGCTAGCCTGGCGCATGTGAATAGTGCAGACAAGTAGAGCAATATAGTGACCTATTGATGAGCGCGCGGACAGGTCGCGAGATAGTCTGAAAAAAAAACCTTGAGACAAACCTACTAAGATTATTATGGCCTTAGATTAACAGTAAATAAAATGTAGCAGATACTATCTCTTTCTCGAAACGTGTCATTTGTGCAATCGATTGATCATGTGGATGAAAAACCCACTGATCTACTAGTTCACGTAACCTGATGCCAGATTTTATCATATATTCGGTTCTGAGTATCTACACAAAAAGCTAAAATCCGATGGATTTAGGAGCTCGCCGGAGTCAAGCCCTAAGTGTAAGTCGGTGGAATCATAAAAATGCAAGTGTTCGTGCGACTGCGCAATATCATCAGAGACCCCTTGCGTGGCAAATCTGTTGGATGAAGGATTGAGCATGCTAGGGATTCCGACGGCAGAATTGCTTTCTGAAATATCTATACGCCCCGTTAATGAGTGGTACTCTGGGAAAAGGTTGATATTCTTACACATCACTGACACCCAGTTTGAAAGTGCAGAAGTATACCGAACACACTTTTCTGCCATTCTATTTCCTTTGAAAATCCGGGATAGGCATTCCGTTGCGCGATGAAGAGATTCTATGGACAGATGCAACTCTTCCATCGCCATTGGCTGGTCCCATAGCTTTGTTTGGTGCTGGATAATCAGTGCAGAATATAACACAAGTGATGCGTTAAAAGCTGTGAAGGTGAGTTCAAGCTCAAGGGATATCGGATAGATCTTTGCGACTTACTATAGTAGAGTGAAAACCACCATGCACCAAGCAGATTTCGGCGGGGACTATTGTGTTTCAACGCCCAGCTGGTGATATCGACAATGGTGGTCGCCGACTGAACACAAAGCTGGACACTGTTCGCTCCAACCTGACGCAATGTAGCTAACTGCAAAGGATCTACCTGAGATGCTCCCAGGCTCTCCAAGTATAGACAGAGTATTGGTCGGTGTGCAAGTATGCGCAAATTTAGAAACCTCAGTGTCAATATAATACGCAGCCCCATAACCTTGAACTCGTTTGGTTCTTGCTCTATATCTTCTGGTCTTATCAATGATATTCGCTTTGGCAGGTCACGCTGCCAGGAGAAAAACTTTTGCTCGCATCTTAGGAGGTAAGAGGCAGCCTCGAAAACATCAAGATGATCTTCACATCCTAAATTGCTTCCGTATAGAAAGTCAAGGACATCGGTCATGATCCGGTAAAGTGTTCTGTAGATTGTCAGAGATAGGGTTTTTCTATACTTTTTCCTGTACTAACATAGTCGCTGTGAAGAACTGTACGCTCATTTCATCTTCTGGTTCTGAATCTGCAAGAATTTGGGGAAGTTCAATTTTAACAAAGTGCTCCGGGATAGAAATTGGTCGTCCCATCGTCATACTTAGTGTTCTGAGTAGGTTAGAACAGATTTTGAAATGGTTCGTAATACTTTCCTGTCAAGCATAACACACCCATACCAAGTTCGTTTGCGGAACTCACGTTCTCGAGGCGGATACTGCTGGAGAGCATTCGAAGAGTGCAAACCTAATTGATAAGCTGCCTTCACAGCAAGGCCGTGGATATTCCACGTCTCAACCGAACGCTCGGAACCTTGGAGGTATTGGCTCATCAAGAGCAGGAGTTGGACTACACATACACTATGAGACTCATAGTCAAGCAGAGCTAGGGCATCTCTGCTTACCGATCTCAACACTTGTGCCATGCCGTATCTGTCGATCACAAAGAGCTGAAGCGCGGCGAAAGTAGATATTTGACTTGGATGTACGCTCCTGCGCAGATAGCGTTACATCATGACCTGTGTTAGCATTCGTTGCCATTGCAAGCACTACGTTGAGCAAGCCAAGCCACGACCTCCGCACAGAAGCGATGTTTGTCGAAACAAGCTGCCGATAAGTCTGAAGAAAGTCTTCTTTGTCGATATATGGAAAAAGAGTTCCGGTTGAACTAAAATAAAGCTCTATAAGGTGGAGAGTGTCTTGTTCCGGTGGCAGTATGAACGGTTCTTTTCCAATTGAAGCAGCATCAACATGACCAGTAAGAATCGGTATCGGAGATGGGGGCCGAGATATACGCGGGATGTGACTTGTTATGGTGTATTCTTCGGGGGATATTGGACTGCCCATTGATGCAGCCTTTTTCAAGATCGCGGTTGTTAATGTGACAATACGACGTGTGAACGATATATTAGAGGATGGTCCTAAGCACCCAGTTAGTCACGTAAGACATGGAACACTCCGGAAGTAGTGTTGTTACCAAAGAATCTCAAGTCTTCTTCATCTGTAAAGATCATTGAGCCCATTCCATCAGTTGGATCTTCAAGGTCAGCTAAATTTCTTTCACTATCCTCCGCCTGTGAAAGTGGGACATCACTCGGGATTCCAGATGAATACGATAGAGAGGATGCATGCGTAGTTCCCTTGTTCTGCACATCTTCAATCGTGCTGACTCTGTTAGACATTCCAGTAAAACCATTTTCGAGACGTGTGAGCCGAGCTTCGAGTGCTTCTATGAGTCTACAAGCAAGTCAGATTGAAAGTGCCGCTAGCGACGTTATACTCGAGGCTAGTTGGAGGCTAACCCTTTGGAAACAGAGTTCTTAGTAAGAGTGCTCGTATTACTCGGGCCCAACGGCTGCTGTAGCAGAATTTCAATGAAATTGCCCGTGCTCCGCACGGGCCTATCACCTCAACGATAATATCACCTCAATG